CGGGCGCGCACTCCCGTAGCGTCCGGAGCGCCGATGCGGGGGTGACGAGCCGGTGGAGCTCGTCGTTCGGCAGGAAGGACCGCGCGGGGTCGGCGGCGCCGAGGGGGAGGGTCGTGCACATGGCCGCCTCCAGCTGGGCCCTTAGCGGCGGCGTCCCATTGTCATGCGAAGGAGGCCCCCAAGACGCTTCGGTATTCGATCCATGGTTTGCGGTAGCTATGTTCATGCCGGAGTGGATTGTTGAATTGAGTTTTTTCTTGGCGTGGGCTGTACAGAGACTGACTGAATTCAAAGTCGATAAATTGCTTTCCTCAGGATGTGCTGGCCGGCGGGGCATCGCCACGCTTTATGAACATAGCCTGAGTGAACGAGCTGACATGCTGCGGATGAGCGTCATGGGCGCAGGGAGGGAGCCAAGCTGGATTCGACCAAGTTTCGTGCGATTGCCTTGAAAAGGCAGCCGAATCGCCTGCAACAACATACCTCAACAACAGTCGGTGTCTCCAGCAAAGTGATGCGTGATAACTCGCGTCTGCGTGTTTGCGCGGTGCGTACATGGCTGCTGCACGGTTCGTGGCTTGTGCAATCCAGGGCGCGCGGGTCTGCTGGATTCCATTGGCTTCTTGTTTCCTTGCACAGCCCTCCCTGATGAATTGGCTCCGCCCGAATCGTCAGACGGTGACCACCGGCCAGCCTCATTTGAGTCCTCTTTGCCGGACAGTCATACTAGATAGTTCTTCTCAAACTGGCTGGTCTGGTTCGCGAAACAGACAGAGCATAGGGATCCACTAACTGCACATAGCCAGAATGATAATTAAACATAGTAGGTCCGCCACAACTAGATCTAACTAACCAGAGGCTAGGAATCCCAAAAGTTATATAACTTTAAAGCTTTTAATTTTTATTATAGTAATTAATATAACTTAATAAGATCTAGCGTTTTTTTGATTTTTAATAAAAAGGTTAATAGAGACTATATTAACTATTAATCTAGCTTTTTTAGCGCTAATAGTATTAGTTATACTAATAGCTGCTAATATATAAACTATATACCTTCTACTACACCCCTTATAGCCCTCCCTCTAGCTCTACCTCTTATTAATATACCTCTTAGAGCTACTATTATTACTACTACTACTATTACTATTACTACCTCTAAATTAATAATATTTATATTACTTACTATTAATACTAGTAAAGCTTACCTAATAGTAAATATATAAAATATATCCTTAAAGCAATTAAGTTTCTTATTAATAATATAAATCTTATATAGCTTAGCTTATACTATAGATTAGCCTCTACCCCTAGCTTTTATACTACTTCTAGCTTTACTTCTATTTCTACTATATAGCTAACTCTAAGGTAGCTTTAAGGTCTTAAAGTAGGAGAGGTTATATTATATTAACTTAGTCTCTCTTATAGCTTAGCTAACTTAATACTATAGCTAGCTTAGTATAGCTTTAAGCGTTTTATATTAAGGTTTAAGTTTAAATTAATATAGTACTACACTAAGGTCTTATTCTATAAATAAAGCCTTAATATCTAGCGTAAGTAGCTATAGCTATTAGTTCCTATATAAATATACTCCCTAGAGAAACTTATAAAGTAATCTAAAAAGTACTAATAGGGATCTATATTATTTAGAGTAAAAGTTCTACTTTAGTAAAACTAGCTAAATACTATATAGCAGTAAAATAAGCTATACTACTAAGTAAATAAGCTACTATAAATAGGTAAGTCTTTCTTTTTATACTAAATATTATCTACTAATAAAAATTACTTATATATTAGTTTAAATATAATAAAGCCTACCTTTTTAACTAATAATAGTATTATAAACTTATTATACTTTAGTATAATTTATATTAATTTAGTTTTAACTCTTTTAGTATATATATATTATCTACTACTTTATCTTTTAGATCTTCTTATAAAAAGTATTAAGGCTTATTAGTATATAATATAGCTACTATTTAAGAAGTATATAAGCCTCCTCTATATAAAAAGTAATAATAATATTATAATTCTAAAGTTACTAAATAGAAAAGTTAGTAAACTCCTCCTTATAGGGAAAGTATATCTTAAAAATATAATCTATAATATACTTCTATTCTAAAAAGTATTTATAAAAAGTACTCTAAGCTTTAAAAAAACTATCTTCTATAGGGGTATAGATATAAGCTTTCTATACTAAGATTATACTATTTTAAGAGAGAGGAAAATTATTATATAAAGCTATAAATATTATATTAATATTATAAATAGGTAAATTTACTTCTACTATTATATCTAATATAAGTATACCTCTAAAGAAGTTTACTAAAGTAGGGTTAAGTAGTATAAATATAATAGTATAGTTAAAGTTATCCTTAACTTCTTAGTACTAAGAGATAATATAATCTAAGTTAACTATATTACTCTAAGTAAGTACTTCTTAATTAAGTTTATTATTAAGCTTATACTACTTAGTTTATATATAATAATTAATATTTTTTATAATATACTATATATAGATCTATTACTAAACGCCTAAGTAAATAAGACTAGTAGTACACTTAAATACTTTATTAAGATTGCTAATAATAACTATAAAGTAGTATATTTAATATTTATAAGCTTACTAAGATATTACTATAAGTAACTATTTAAAGTTATCCTTAGCCTTACTATTAATAAAGCTAAAGGTAATATTAAATATAATATAGAGGTAAGTAATACTAATAATTTATAGTAGGAGTATTTTAAACTTATTAATCTTATAGGTATTATTAAATAAGAAGATATTAAGGTTCTTATACTATAAATTAAGGTAGTTGCTATAAGCTTATATAATATAGTTAATATAGTTATTACTACCCCTACTTACTTTATAGATAAGTTTATAATCTATAGTATAAGCCTCTAATATATATAAAAAAAGCTAGAAGGAGGAGAAAGAGCTATACTTTTAAGTATAGAGGGTAGCTTAAATATTATATATATTAATATTAGTAATAAAGTAGGGTAATAGGTTATTATTACTATTATACTATAACTAATCCTTATAAATATTCTCATAGATTTAAGTAGTAGTAAGTAATATAAAAGCTAATAATGTTTTAATATACTTAGTGAGGGCTAAGTTACTAAGTTATTATTATTATTATATATATAATAAAACTTTATACTACCTATTAATACTATTATAGTTATATAAGAGGGTAGGGTTATAATAAGTATAATAGAAGCTAATAGCTTTATAATAAATAATCTTAATATACTATAGGTAGTTATATTTAACTAACTTACTAATATATTAATCTATATATTACTTATATATAGAGGTAGTATAGTTATAAATAATATTAATATATAAGATAGTAGTATTTTTATTATATAGCTTATCCTTATTAAGCTTATAAGTATATACTTTTTAGAAGTAGTAACTCTTACTTAACGCACTATTAAAGAGATTCTTATAAATATCTTTAGTAATAATTATATAAGGGAATAAGTTAAGTTTAATAATAGTATTATTACTATTATTAATTATTAATACTATTAAAAAGGTAATAAGAGTAGTAATAATAATAGTAGTGTTAATAGATAATTAGATATAATCGCTAATATAGAGGTGTTATAGTAGTAAAAAAAATCGTATATTAATAACGAAAAGCTTTATCTTTTATTAAATCCTAGCCTCTAGTTAGTTAGATCTAGTTATAGCGGACCTACTATGTTCAATTATCATTCTGGCTATGTGTAATTAGTGAATCCCCAGAGCATGGTTCGCGAACCATGGGGAATCACAGAGATCTCTCGCTCGAGATTGAAGCTTGTTTGCATGTTCCCATCCTCTCCGAACAAGGGAGACCCCTGCCAGACCACCCTCCGCGGAAGTCGTCCCGGAACTGCTATCGAAGGAACCTAACAATTAACGACCTTAGTCATACCTTAAAAGCTCTCCTAATCGTGTACCAAAATCCCTCCCGCCCGGCACTCTACGAAACCCAAGCCCGAGATGCAGTTCATGCTTAAAACAGCACCGTTCACCAACAAACCTTATCAGTCCTCGATGCATATGTCATCTCAACTACTTCTCCATCTCTCTCACTCCCGCATCAACCGCAATGTCCTTAATCAAACCCAAAAGACACGGCCACATTAAATGGAACTGGACCTACAAACAACAGCAGCAACAGGGAAGAACATTAGCTAATCACCAGAGTCCCTCCCAAGCAAAGGATCGGTGAGCAGTGCCAAGAAAACGCCAAGAAAACCCACGCCCAGTCGCCTATCATTTCGCACCACGCGACCCCATCCTCGACTCCCACGGAGGTATTCTTTTCGCTCGCCCGTGGTGCCTGCCTGCCGCCGTGTGTGTTGATGTAATCCGCAGCAGCTGGAGTGAGTGAGGGAGAAAAAAAAAGGCCAGTCCACCCCCCGCACACGACTCTCTTCTTCACACTCTTCCTGATGAAGCTGTAATCGGCCAGCAACACTTCAACATCCAACCCGAAACGAAACAAACGCAGGAGAAGGACGTCATAAGCGAGGAGCAGTAGCATGGTCGGATCCGCTGTCCCGCAAAGCCTCGAGTGAGAGCTGTTCCTCTTCCCCACCGCCGCCGCGCTGCTGGCCGCTCACATCTGCGCGACGAGCCTTTTCCTCCTGCGCCGTGCTGCCGTCTTTTCCGGGCCACCCCAGACGCACCCAAGACATTACCACCTCTTACGCACTCATACCTACCTAACCAACGCACTCACTCATACACGGCCGCGCGCGCCGTGAGACGCGAAAGGCGCCTGCTGCCGCTTCGCCCAATCGGCCGCACTGAAGAAAACAGTAAACCGTGTGTCATCGGTTTCCACGGCTCCCCAGAAGCGAAGGGGGCCGTCTCTTTCTTGGCTTTGGGCCTCGCGAACGCGGCACGACAGAAGTCTTGGCCTTAAGCAACTTCAAGGAACAACAAGGCACAACCACCAAACATCACAAAGGGACCGGGGGAGAACCGAAAAATGAGACCGCTCCCCCTCATGGGGTCCCTCCTCGCCGCGGGGATCGGTGGTCCCGGGAGCGGCGTCCGGCCCGCCCTCGCAACGGTCCCCATCCTCACCGAGGTCGCCCTCAAGGGCTGCGCCGACGTGGGCTGCCCGGCCGGCGCCGTGCACGACCTCGTCGGCGAGTCCAACTGCACCCTCGGCGGCTCCGTCCTGCGCCGCGTCGGCATCGCCCCGGAGGTCCTCGACATCCCCATCGACGACAACAACATCACCGACATCCGCAAGCTGTCCGTGACGGTAGCCACCCTGCACAACGGCCCCGCCACATCCTCCTCCTCCTCCAACTGGATGAAGAAGCAGGTCTACACGCAGTCGTACTACCTCGGCGCGCCCGCCGGCCTGAACCTGTCCTCGCCAAAGTACCCCAAGGGCTGCGCGCTCATCTTCCAGCACCTCTTCCAGACGCTGCCGATCGCGCACGAGGTCAAGGACGACGAGACGACCGACTGCTCCTCGTGGCTGCAGCAGAGCTGCATGGACGAGATCACGGGCTACGTCGACGACTTCCGCGCGGAGCACGCCAAGGACGAGGACCTGCCGCGCTGCCAGGAAGTCGCCATGTACCTCGAGGAGCGCACGCGGACGGACAAAAACTTCCACTGCAACCTGATCGCGGGCGCGGTGAATATCACGGGGGCCGAGATCATCGGGCCCGACGCCCCGGATACGCCGGCGCAGGACGCTGGCGCGAACAACGGCTGCCACCCGACGCTGCCGGCGGCGTACGACTTGATGAAGCTGACGGACGTGGAGCTGATTCTTGATGAGGACGGTGGGACGACGACGCCGACGGGCGGGTTGAACGGGTACACGCCGGTGATGAGCGTGCTGTTCGACAAGCTGCTGTATTCGCAGTGGATCTGCATGAAGACGATGAGCGAATTTGAGAGGGAGAGCACGGCGGCGCGGAGCACGCCCCTGATGGCGGGGCTGGTGATGGGAGCCGCCACCCTCATTGCGCTGTTGATGTTATGAGGGAGAGAGCACGGTGTGCGGATGAAAGAGAATGGTAGCGATCACAAGAGGCAAAACAGGACTGGCCCGAAATATTATGACTTTATGCGATATATACCCAATGAAATCATGGCGATAGATATGATGCGCCCTACCCAAGACCGTTCCCCCTGTTTCCTGAACGCCGATGTGCATGCTTGATCTGTCTGCAGTGTATATGTAAATAAGGTAGGTTTAAATAACAATGCCCCGTTGGACCCATCCGTTCTTGCCCTTCCAGGCGTAAAGGACCATGCCGCAGGCCACCCAGACGGTGACGGCCATGGCCCAGAATGTCGACGCATAGCACTGCATGCCGTAGCAAAAGACGTCTCCGCCCTCTCCGGGTGAAGGCGATTTCGTAGCGCCGGACTGGTAGATGGCCGAGTAGACCAGACTCCAAATCGTCGAACCCAGAGCCGGGAACATGGCAACGATGCCCCAATTGGTAGCAAAGTTCTCGACGCCCCAAATAACCGTGATGATGATGGGCGTCAGGCTGAAGACGGCTCCGTACCCAGAGCCGACAAGACCGGAGACGATCCAGAAGCGTTCGCCGTGTTCCTGGATGAAGCCGGAAGCCAGGGCCACAAGACCCAGAGATAGGATGATGGCGAAGAAGAGGAGAAACGCAACGCGGGAAATGGCTAGTCTGCCGCGAATGTAGGGTGGGCTCGAGGACACCTGCAGATGCTGTGTCTGGGGAGACGGGGCAAGAAGATCGGTCAAGGTGCCCGTCGCCAGTCGTGCGACAGTGCTGGTGATACCGACGATGGACACATGGGTGGCCGCTGACGTCGGGGGGCCAACGTATTGCCGTGTAGGGGGGTACAAGGTGCCAATGACGGTGCCGAGGTTGTTGATGAAGGCCTCACCAGGTCCAATCATCAGCAGGAAGCCTAGGGCAAAGTACCACATGGTGCGGTCCGTGAGAAAGCTTCGTGTCTCAGCATTGAGGACAAGCTTCTTCTTCAGCTTTGCATCGTCCTCAGCCGGCCCAAGAGCTCCACCATCCTCTTCGTCGGCAATCTGAGAAATCGCGCCGTATCCTCTGCCGCCGCTGCGAGCACTCAGGAACGACGTGCTGCGCTCCAAGAGACCGCTCCGCTCGAGCTCCTCGACAGCCTCCTCAATGATCTCCTCCTCGTCGACAACCTTCAGAGTGAAGGCCCCGACGATTCCGACCACCAGCAAGAGGATGGAGAGGAAGACGAAAAAGTGGAAGACGTCCAGGTCCCCAGCCGATCCGTCCGGCAGCTTCTCGTAGAAGACACGGCTCCCAAGCTGGCTGAGCCACATGCCACTCAATCCAAACGCAGCAATGGGCACCGCCAGAGCCAGTCCGCGATGCTTGCCCTTGCCAAAGTTCTTCGCGCAGGTTGCGACGGCTGCGAGGTACATGGAGCACGTACCGACACCGACGCAGACGAACGCAAAGATCATCAGGGGATACGTCCAATCGGGGCCGCCCGAAATGCGCCTTCCGGCCATGTCGCGCAGACCTCCAAAGTTCTCATCCTCGAGCTGGCGGTATGTGCCCGCAGCAATAGCGTATCCTCCACCAAACAGTATCGCGGCCAGCAACGACAGCGGCGGAGTACCGACGCGGTCGCAGATGTATCCGAGGATGGAGACGGGCAGGTAGAGGGCGATGGAGCTGCTGATGGCCAGGCCGTTGACCTGGAACTGGGTGTAGTGCAGGCGCTCTTGGAAGATGTGGCCGTACATGGAGAAGACGGTGATGGAGCCAGCGCAGAGGGCGGAGACAAGTGCGGCGACGAAGGAAATTGCTCGCCAGGTAGTTGCGGAGCGGCGGCTTCGGCGGCGGTGGGAGGAGCTTCGGTGGAGGAGGTCGAGGGAAGAGCGCGAGCTCAGGCGGCTGATGGTAGAAGAGGCATCGTCGTCGTCGGGAGGTGCTGCGACGAGGGTCCGGTCATCGGACGGGGTCGGCGGGCTCGAGGCGCGCGCCATGATGATGGATCAAGCTCTCGGACTTGGGATGTCGGCAACGGTAGCTGACTGCGATTGGAGAGGCGCCGGCGTCGGCGGTCGGGGGCGTGACAGATTGAGGAGGGTTGATTGAATGGAAGAAACAAAACAGCCGCTCTTCCTCCTCCTCCGAAAATGCAGGACAGGAGAACCGGACCAGACCACGCAGCGGAATGGAGTGTAGAACGACGGGAAAGGAGAGAAGATGGAACGGATCAGTGAAGAGGGCAGAGAGGAGGAGTCAGGAACATGACGTGGAGACGGGAAGCCGAGAAGGAGATGCCTCGGGAAGGGCACTGACTGGGGAAAGGCCGACCGACGGGCAATCGAAATCGAGATGGAGGGTAGCAAGCAGCCAGGCACGGCAACAGAACGGCACCTGGATGGAGGAGGAGGCGACTTGGGGTGTATTTGCTGCTTGTTGGTGGTGAGTCGGAGTCACGATTTCGCACGTCAGCAGGTCACTCGGCCACTCCTGTCGCATACCACCGCCGCGAATGATGTCGTGCTCGACCCCCAAGTGGGCCCTTCCCTGCACTACTCGGTGCCTATCTGCCCTCCTACCGCAATCCGTCCAGGGACCGCCTGGGAGCCGCCTCGGACGCTGACACGAGTCTGCAGCGCGTTCGCCGTTCGCCTCATAGCACAGGGCCGTTGCTGCTCAGTGGACGCCTTTAGGGGGGCGCACCCGGGTGAATGGCTTCTGCAGCGCCTGCAAGACGGGCACCTGTCCGAAATCCGATCGCGGGGTGCAGGAACTGGCGGCAATTAGATGCTTACATAAGGCTGCCTACCTACCTGAATGGCTAACCTAAGGCACCCGGGTAGCGAGATCGGACTATCCCCTTGGATGCCTGGATGCGATGCAGTTGAGACAATCCTACAGCAGGGGAATGATCCTCCAGCAGGATGACTGACATGGATTCAATATGGACAAGCAACACAATTGGGTGCCCAAGCGAGGGCAGTGGGCAGACCGACGAGGCTGTCATCTGTCTGCACCTCCACCCAACTTCATCCATGATTCCTCAACCACAAACGACTGAAAGGGATTCATGAGGAGCGCATTCGGAACCATGGACGCCAATACAATGGTCTGCGGCGTGTGTCAAAGCTCCATCTCGCCCATGGACTTTGCCAACGACAACATGGGGAAGGAGGCAATCCACCACCCAAGCTTAGAGAGCCAGAGAAGATCCATGGAAGCCGGATGCCACATTTGCACCACATTCTGGGCTTTGCACTCGTCCAAGCTGAGGAAACCATCCGACGATGCTGATATCGATTGGGACTGTGAGTTTGATACGACAAGCCTTTTGTTCCATGGCAACTGTCCTTATGGCGGTTTCTTGGCTGAATGTATTGGCGTATGTCCAAATTTCAAGGGGAGAAATAGCTCTTGGGAGGACGAGGCTGTTTTCTTTTTATCCAAGAAGAACCGTAAGATGTCTTCCCGACGGTGATATCTAAATGTTGCATTCAGCCTAGGTATCTGACAGCTCTACCAGCGTCATTTCAGTCCAAAGAGCTCTCCCGCCGTACAGATTCTGAAAGCACCTTCTCAATCGCGAAACAATGGATAGATCGATGCTTTAAGGAGCACAAGAGGTGCAACCCCCCGCTACAAAAAGATGCAGCGCGCTTCCCAACTCGGCTCCTGGACTGTGGGCACCCTGACGACTCAGCAGCATATGTACGCTTGGTCATTTCTGCTGAAGGGTTTATTGAAGGGCCATTTATGACGCTAAGCCATTGCTGGGGTTCTGCGGACTGTCTTGTTCTTACTACCGACAATATCGACGCATTCCGACGAGGGATACCCGCAGAGCAGCTTCCCCAGCTCTACCGAGATGCCATATCCACCACCAGACGACTGGGGGTCAGATACTTGTGGATTGACTCCCTGTGCATCATCCAAAGAGGAGACGACAAAGCGGATTGGCTGATCGAGTCGACGCTCATGGACCAGGTCTATTCCAACTCGTACTGCAACATCGCCGCCGTCGACGCTCCCGACGCAAACCATTCGCTCTTCACTACTCGCAACACCAAAGCCTTCACCCCACAAATCGTCCAGGGAACTTATGATGGTTCTGTAGGGGAATACAAAGTCTCTGCATTCCAAGGATTCATGCAACACCTAAATGATTCGGCCATTAACAGCAGAGGCTGGGTCTTCCAAGAACGAACTCTGTCTCCTCGGGTGCTGCACTTTGGGGAATGGCAGGTTGCATGGGAGTGCTGCAGCAGACAAACCACAGAGGGGTTTGAGAGTTTCGACAATCACGAAGCCTATAGCAATGTCGTTACTTTCCATCTAATGGAGCCTGATACAGCCGGGTACCGCTTGAGCTGGTGGAATTTCGTTGATAAATACTCAACGTGCGCCCTGACGTACCCCCAAGACAGGCTCCTCGCCATGTCTGCCATTGCGAAACGAATCAGGGCATTCACCGGCGACGAGTACGTTGCCGGTCTGTGGCGAAGTACACTGGAGCAAGACTTGATGTGGAGAACAGTGAGAGAAAACAAGGCACCAGAGACGTTCACATCGTCCGCGATACGCGAAGAAGAGGCTGCGCGTGTCGCGTATGTAGCGCCTTCGTGGTCTTGGGCAGGTCCTGGCAAAGGTACTTCGCGTATCGTTCGTCATTCTTCTGTGGAAAGGGCTGAGGCATTATGCAATGTGCACGATGTACAGCTCGACTATGTCACGAACGACACGACTGGCTTGCTCAAGAGCGGATATCTGCGACTTTGGGGCCAGCTCAGACGCGTTGAAATGCTGCGGAGCGGGCCCTTTTCGGAAGACAAACGGATGAAGGTATACAAGTGGAAGATATATATCGGCGGCGAACTCATCGAAACCATGTCCCCGATCAAAGTTCATTTGGACTCACCCACGACAACCGCATTCGACAGCCAGGACACTCCTGCGACACGATACTATCTTCCTACGTTCAAAAGTGCCTCACCTTGGACGCTTTGGATGC